CAGACAGACAGACAGACAGACAGACAGACAGGAAAAACAGTTTATTTTTAACTGCTCAAGCTCTGATTTTCCCCAGAGTAAAACACACTTTGATGGTGCTATGAACCAATTTTTTTGCTTTATACCATTTGAGAAACAAATTTCTATTTTCCCTCTACCTCCCCCCCACCAAAAAACAGGCAGACATCCTGGAAGAAGGAAATGGCAAAACATAGTGGTGTCTTCCCCCCACCCAAAGATTTAATTTTATACTCGTATAAACTGGATAAAGGCAAAAATGATAGACTCCAGACATCTTCTCTTAAAACAATAAACTTATTTTCCAGCTAAATCATTTAGGAGTAGACATTAGATGAATTTTTTAAAAAATATTAAACACTGAAGTTAAATAAGGAAACAGTTTTGTCCTTGCAATTAAACCAAAACCAAACAAAAAAAGAACAGTTTGTTCCACATGTAATATAACACTGTTTTATCATTAAAGTTAAAAATATGTCTTTGAACGGTGTGATGGATTAGATTAGAAAGAAATCAGATTTAAAGAAAACAGATTGACTCTTGTGTAGATTACTTGTTCTATTTGTCACATACACAGCAAAACATACTTCTGTTTGTTTGTTTGTTTGTTTATTGCACATGGTGATCAGAATTCTGGAGTGTGATACTGTCATGCCTGACATGAAAACAATGAGGCTATGTAACCATTTTTCCAATTATAGTTTTGTTGTCAACGAACGGTTTACAAGTTTCAGAGGCAGTTGCAATTGGGAATATATTAAAGTTTGCTTGTTTGCTTGTAAAGCAAAATTCTATGGACATCTACTCTGAAGATACTTCCACTGAACTTAAAACTGTTTACCATATAAAATTACAGTCTAAGTAATTTACTGAATAGTGTTTTGAATATAACCCAGACTAGATTTTTGTTCAAAATTTATGTGCAGTGGAAACAAAGACAACTGGTTTAGTCTATATCTGTTCTATATTTTCAGTCATAGTTCATACATATTAAGAATTTTTGTTGTTGTTCAACCTCCTCCAAGGAAAATATAATTTTATGAATAAATTCAGAACTATTTATTGCTAGTTTAATTCTGATAGTTTTAATTAATATTCATTCTGTTATATTTCAAAAACAATCTATGACAGAAATTAAGAGGGAATTCCTTATTCTTTAGTATATTAGTACTGTGATTTCACAATTAAATTCCACAATGTTGGATCACTTGTGTCTGCAATCAGAGTTAAGTGAAATTGACACAACCAAATTAGACCACATTTGTACATCATAACCTATTTCTAGCAGAATTATGAATAAGTCCCACCTTCAACCATGGACTTGCATAGATAAATAGATAACCCTCTACCAATCATGGTACTTGTGTAAAACAGACTTATTTTCAGGTTGCTTACAAGGAAGGGAAAAGGCAATATTTTGTACCTTGAAAATGGCATTGAAAAGCATAACAATAATAACACATCTATATTCTGATCCAAAATGCATTGCTTGAGATTTAAAGTCACACTCTAAATAATTACATATCACTTGTAAGCAAGCATGTTTTTAGAAACAGTGTGTTGGCCTTTCTAGAAATCTCATTCAATGCTGGTTGAATTTTTCTTTTTTTTAAATTAAAGCCAGCAGCTTTTTCTTTTCCTTTTGAAAAATTAATAAATAAATCTTACCTGAGGCACCAAACCTTCTTAGCTTTAGAAAAAATGAATAGTACCAAAATTGTCTTAATAAATATCTGATAAAAGGAAAGAGAAGTCCTTTTGAGTTCAGAGCTTTTGAAAGCTTTGGGAAGCAACAATTTCCTGCCAGTAAAAGGCACTTATGTTTTGGGTTTGAAAACTCACAGTATGTCACTGCTTACTGCTTGCTATTTTGGGTGTTCCTCATAAAACACTGGGTCTTTTGTGTAGAACATCATAATGCTTCTCTGATGTTAAGGTTGAACCCATAATTAAAATACAGCAAGATAGCTCTTGTGAACAAAACACAAACTAAATCTCCCTTCCTTCCTTCCTTCCTTCCTTCCTTCCTTCCTTCCTTCCTTCCTTCCTTCCTTCCCCTCCAGGAGAAAAA